GATGAATGTGTTGTCAAATGTTTTACGAACATATGAGCAGAAGCCACAGGAAAGGATGAATGTGCTGTCAAATGTTTTACGAACCTGCTATTCTGATGCTGAACCAATGTTACGATCATATGGTTTCCATTTATTGATCCAAGATGAAATTTGTCTTCTTCAACCCCAAGATTAGAAGTGAGATATAATGAAGATTTCTTTCCACAGAAGAGAAGCAGAAATTTTAACAACAAGAAACTAGTGGAGCCAACTATGGTTGAACGATAGGTTGTGGTTAATCATCTCAACATGATATAGTCCAAGTTGCTTTGTTCGAGAACCAATTAAATGTGGAGACATGAAAGGAATTGAGATAAATTCTCCTTATAATGTGTTTCAAGAGTCAAATCAGAACAGACTCTACTCCCTTAATTAATCCCTGCTAAGTCAGACATATCTACATCTACACTCTTCAAAGATGATAGATTCCCTTTTTAAAGATGACAGATTCTCTTTTCAAAGATGAAAGCTTTATCGGATTTCTGCACAACTCCAAGCAAAGAAAGTTGGTTTTATCCAAGACAAAATGGGGCATCAAGGTCATAGTTCTGACTACGATAAGAGTTTCACAAATGAAACAATTCTTCTGAGACTTTCATGAAGCAAAGAAGACATACAGATACAAGTTGATCAGATGGTTCTTCATAAATGCAAGTTTGATAGCATAAGTTGCTACACTGATATCCAGAGGTGACCCTGGCAATAAATGATGAAGTGGAGGAAAACAGAGTTCACCATTTTGAAGTCAAATGAAGATTGCATCAACATTCATGCATCATATTTAAACATTTACAAAATAGGAGCATTTTTATTCATTTTATCCATGTTGAATATTTGACAGGAATTTCAAAGATTTTAGCAAAGTTCAAATCCATCATTCAATGGATCAGCATTACCAGGTCGAGTTCATAATGAGAAGAACTCATCTGAAGAAGGAAGAAGAAGTTCATAATGAGAAGAACTTGTTCAACTTTTTGCTTGAATTCATCAGCAATTCCAGGTCGAGTTCATAATGAGAAGAACTCATCTGAAGAAGGAAGAAGAAGTTCATAATGAGAAGAACTTGTTTAACCTTTTGCTCGAATTCATCATTCGATGGATCAGTGTTGCCAGAAGGTTCATAATGAGAAGAACTTATCTGAAGAGGAAGAAGAAGTTCATAATGAGAAGAGCTTGTTCAACCTTTTGCTTGACTCTATCACATAAGAAGATAGATCAGCATTAACATTGCCAGTTAGAGTTCATAATGAGAAGAACTCATCTAAAGAAGGAAGAAGAAATTCATAATGAGAAGAACTCATCTGAAGAAAGAAGAAGAAGTTCATAATGAGAAGAGCTTGTTCAACCTTTTGCATAACTCTATCATAAAAGGAGATAGATCAATATCAACTTTTACAGAGAAAGTTCATAATAAGAAGAACTCATCTGAAGAGGAAGAAAAAGTTCATAATGAGAAGAACTTGTTCAACCTTTGCATAACTCTATCACAGAAAAAGATAGGTCAGCATCAACATTTCCAGATTACATCACAGAAGGAGATATTATCATCCCCAGCGGAAAGTTCATAATGAGAAGAACTCATCTGAAGAAAGAGAAGAATTTATTCAACATCTCCATATTAATCAAGTGAATTCAAATGGATAAAAAAATATTATTATCTTTTCGTCTTTGCTCTATTCTTGTTAACACGAGAATGAGCAAAGAGGGGCAGCTGAAGATACTATTTTTTTCTCTCCATTTTCTATTATTATTATTTATTATTATTATTATTTTATATATTATTATTATTATTATTTTATTTATTATTATTAAAATTATTATTATTACAAACAGGCCAAGTCCGGCCCAATTATAACCCATACTGGCCCAGAGCCAACAGACCCAACTTGGTCCAGGCCCAATTAAAAATAGAAACCCTAAATTGATTAGGGTTTATATCACAAGCTCCAGCCACCATTGCTCAGCACCGTTGGATCTGTCCTTGATCCAACGGTCCCCAGATGCTCCATCAAGAAACCCTGGGGTTATCATAACCCTAGGGACCACGCGGCGCCGCCCCTGAAGCCACCAAACCCATCGACTGTCTTCTTCCAGGTGCCTCTTCCAGACGCCGTCTCCACCGCCAAGTGGTCCAAACAACTGCTGCCGACGCTGTTGATGCCACGCCAAGCCTTCACCGAGCTTTCCAGAGAGCCAGCTGCCCCATCCACATCAAGACACTACCGTGAGTCACCAGCATAGCTTTGGTGACTCACCAAGGCTTTCATCTTCTTAACCGGTCTGAAGCCATCACCGGTGGTGGCTATAAAAGCCACCAGATCCTGCAAAACAAAGAGGACAGAGAACAGAAAAAAAAAGGAGACCAACAGCAAACCTAAAACAGAACACAAACCAGAAACGACAGGGAGCAAAAAGAAAAGAGAAGAGAGTGGAGTGGCTTACCTTCAACGGAACTTCAAAACCGCAGTCGAAACATCGAAAACTCGAAGGTATAAAACCTAGATCTAGGAAATTCTTGGGGTTTTTAGGAGAAAAGAAAGCCAGATTCGGCTTTGGGGTTGTTGGATCTTGAAAGTGAGGTAATTTTGTACATTCCGGCCACCATGGGTGGCATGGTGGCCGGCGGTGGTTGCCGGCGCCGGGGCAAGGCGGCCGACCGATGATCGGTCTCTCTCCGGCGACAGAAGCTAGAGAGAGACAAGAGAGAGTTTTATAACTTTCTCTGCTTGAGAGAGAAGAGAAAGGAATAAATGAGAGGCTGGCCCCGGTTTCGGGTATTTATACCCTCTCCCAAACGGCGCCGTTTTGGGAGGGTATTTTTGTAATTTCATAAAGGGTAAACCCCGTCCGCAGTGGTCCAAGTTTGTATACCTTGCAATTTAGTCACTGAAAGTAATTTTTGATTATTTTAATTTAGTCTTCTAATTTTATTTTATTTTAATTTAGTCCTTATCAGCATATAGATATATATATTTAGGTAAATATCAAATTTAGTCCCTCATAGTTTAGTATTTTTTATTTTAATCCCGTATTATGAATTATGGTTAAATTACACTTTTAATGCCCACCTTTTATATATTTCGAATTAGGACTCTAGTTTTATAATTTTACATTTTAATCATTAAATTTTCATTTTTGACTATTTATTTTTAATATTTTACATTTTAATACTATATTTTTAATTCCTTTTATTTTAATCATTATTTACAATATTATTTTATTATTATTATTGCTTTAATTATTATTGCTTTAATTATTATTTCATTATTATTAATTTTATTATTTATATAAGTAAATATATATATATATATATATATATATTTGTTTATTTATTCTATTTGTTTTCTATTAAAATCCTATATTTCATAAATTACTGTTAATAATCATATTTTAATATATATTTATTTTTCAATATTAAGAAAATGACTGTCTTAAAACACCTAGAAGTCCGTTTTCTGATATTTTTACTAAATATCCTATTTTTATAAATCCTATATTAAATAAATGTTTTATTTATTTTTATATCAAAGAAAAAGAGCTGTCTTAAAGCACCTATAAGCCCTTTTCTGATATTTTAAATAAATAAATATCTTATTTATATTAATATATTTTCATAAAATCATAAATTTGAAATAAAAAAGATTATAAATTAAATATATCTTTGAATTTTTAATTTCTAATAATAGAGACAATTTATAATTAAAAAGTACTAATTTTGGGCGTTGTAGGGGTGCTAATACTTCCCTAAACGTAACCGACCACGAATCCCTTTTTATTATTAAAAAGAATGAATTTTTGGCTAAAAACGCAGATCAGTTTATCTTTTAATCGATGTTTTCTTAAAAACTCTTTTAAAGGATGATTTTTAGGTATTCGACCTACCTAACCCAAAAGGCCGATGGAGACTCCCAAATTATTTTAAAAACCATTTATTCATATCATTTTCCCGCCAAACATAAATAAATATTTCGTGCCCGGACGAAAACCGGTTACGACAAGATCCATGAATTCATCAAAACCCAGAAGTGGTGGCAGCAAAATACTAGAGGAATGTACAATGCTCGATTAAGTTTAGGATACTGTTAGTTACCCTCATTACACAAAAAAAAGGATTTTTTATAATTGAAATCGTTACTTTCTTTTTATTCCTTTATATCACATAATATATTTATTTGAATTATAGGATGTAATCGTTTGTTTAAATTAAAAAAATTATTTTTATTGCTCGTACTCTTTATGTTCAAAATAAAACGCATTAAATAATTTAATTTTTAATTTAATTCTCTTAATTACATTTATATCATATATTTTTTAGATGATTACAAATAATGTTTATCTAGAATTTTTCTTACTTTACTTTTACTGAAAATGAATAGATAACATAATTATTCAAATTCAAATCTATTAAAACATAATAATTTCTTTTATCACACACTTAAAAACTCACAAATTTTTAAGTTAAATTCCAATCATAAGGAATGCATGCAACATTATAAGGAATTACAAATAAAAATATCCACCGGAGGCCACATGAAAGCCTCCAGGGATGAAGCTACCACCGCACACAGCATGTAACATTGTTAGGAATTACAAATAAAAGTCTCCACCGGAGGCCACATGAAAACCTCCCGGGATGAAACTACCACCGCACCCAGCACTTGGGTTCGGCAGGTCTCCATATTGAAAGCTAATCAACTATGTCTTCGACTGTTAAAAGCGACACCAACTCATCGTCATCTTGTTGGGTCCTTATTGTAAAGATTAACGGGGGGGGGGAGCAAAAACAAGGGGGTAAGTTTGGTTTTTTTTCTTTTAAACATGGAAATGGTCTGAAGGCTGGTTAGTGAGATAAAAGTGAGGCGTAGCAGAGGGGATTTTAAGGGTTAAAAGGAACTAACAGTCATTGTTTAACGAAGGTAAGTTCTCTTTATCTTCTGATGTTGTTGGAGCAAGGACAGTTGGTTCCCTGTCGTCACTTCTCACTCAAAGCAATTTGCTGCTTGTCGATGAAGCTGCCGGTCTCATTGCTCTTGGTAACTTTGAACCTATTTCTGACTCGGTTGCCGGGCACCCATCTGGTTGTTTGGGAGGATCAGCATTTTTTGTATTTAGGGGTGCTGCTCTATTATCTCGGTCTGAAGATGGTGGAGCAGTGGGAACCAGTTGAACCAAAGATTTTCTCAATTTCTTTCTCTTGTTTGGCTTTGCTGCATCACGTTTAGCCTGTCAAGAAACAAGTAAACTCTGCATAAGCTATCCATCACCCAAGCAACAATGGTGCAAGTAATAGGCAATAAATTTCCAGATCTAATATATATATATAAGATCATAAATTGTACCATTATGTTTCCAATTTCTGAGAGTGCTTTTCTCCCTGTATGACCATCTTCCTCTGTTTCATCTTCCTTTTCACTCCCCAATGCATTCTGTAGTAGCATTGCGCTGTGAACAACAAGGTTGTTCTCTTCATCGGTGCTGACATCATTTGGGATATTTGCTTCTGTTTCTCTATTACAACATTTGACTGAAGAACAATCACATGACTGTCCACAACAACTTCCATTTGCTCTACATTGGCACTTTGATGTCTCACATAAAGATTTCTCACTACAACTGCAGCAGAATAACCCTTTGACCTCATCAACATATCCCTTATTAATTTTCATTTCATTGGCTCTTGTAGCTCTAGAAGCCTTTCTCCTCGCTCGTTCTTCTTCGGACTGCATCCAGTCATCGTCATCACTTGCATTCATGTCTGAATTTTCCAACTGAGATGTATACATGTCATCCATGGAGTTCCGCTGTTCCTACAATAGCATTTTCAAGTCAGAAGTAGTTGCCAGAAACCAGTCAAGATTACAAGCTCAAATGGAAATCAAACTTACTTTTGGAACACAGTAATAAGAAATGAACTAACCTTCATTTTCATTTCTCGAGCGAGATCAGCCTTTTCTGCAGCGAGTTGTCCGGTCAGGCCACCAAGTATCACCACCTTTTCCTTCAGATATTTTATTTCTGCATCTTTTTCTCGACAACTAACTTCTTTATCTCGCAATGAGCACCTTGAAAGAAGGGCAGCAAGTTATCAATTGAAGCAAAACCATGATAACAAAAGCAAATCAATTTAGTAAGTAATGGAAAGGGAAAGATTTGCTGCGAATGCGAATTTTCTATTTGAAAAGATTCATTACCTTGAGGACGATGCTAAATTGAACAGATAATTCATAATACTTTTTGCTTCGGAGAGGTTCCAAACATGGTTCCAACGTCCTCTTCCATTAAAAGTACGTTCACGTTCTTCAGCTTCAGACAGTTGTGAGGCCATATCGACCAGAGAGGTAGAAGTAGCAGCAAGCATGTTCTCTAGAGCGAAAATCCTTGAGTATCTTGCACCAGCTGACATAGTCTCATGAAAACCTCTGCATTTGGTAGCATTAAAAGAGAAGTAATTGATTACTATGGGAAGGGGAAAAAATCGAATTAAGAGTATATAAAAGAGGATGTTTTAACCTTAATTCACTGTGCTTAAGTATCTCAGCTTTTTCCTTCAATCCTGAAACTTCCTTGGCCATCTTCGCTCTCCTATAGTTCAAACAGAAGAATAAAAGATATTGAATCCTCATGGTAAATAATTTCTGCCATCCTCCATAAAACAATAGCTATAAAGGGAAATGAAACGAAAATCAAGAAAAAAACAGCCACAAAAGATTTTCCACGACAAATATTTTGAATTTTCAAACACTGTAAAAAGGCTCTGACAAAATATATGTTGAAAAGTCAACATAGAATTGGCCAAATTGATGGCAAATTTCGGTGGAAAGTGTACACAATAAATGTACCAAAATTAGCTGGAAATTTGGCATCGAAAGTAGATGAAAAATGTTGAATTTTGGACAATGGTAGAATCATATTTTTAGTCATTGCAATTTAGGGTATTTACAAATTAGTTCTTAAGTTTCAACTATAAATACCCTAGTTCATTTAGCTTCAAAATCATCCCAAAGCATTCTAGCTTTCTTCCAATGCTAGAGAGAATTTAGAGAGTTTCTTGAGAGTTGTTTTCTCCTTTTTATCAAGAGATAATTATCATTGTTTTCTCCTTGGTAGATCGAGAGAAGTTATAATTTCTATTTTCTCATATTGAAATTCTTCTACCGTTGCCCGTGGTTTTTACTTTATATTATTTAGGGGTTTTTCACGTAAATTTTGTGTCTTCTTTATCTTTATTTTTATTTTCTCAAATTATTAGTTGCGATTTTGCTCTATCCGATAGTCGTCTTCCGCAACAATTGATATCAGAGCCAGATTTGAGAGTGTAATATCTGCTTATTGTCTTTGTGGTTGCCACCAAAAGGTGGATCATCCAACATAAGAAAGTAAAAAGTTATTACTCATTCTTTGAAGGTTCCAGAGAACTATTCACGATAGTGAAATAATGGGAGCTATCCGTAAAATAAGCTATGGAAATGAAATTTGACATTGAAAAATTCAATGGGAGAAAATTTTCATTGTGGAAATTGAATATGAAGGCCATCCTGAGGAAAGACGGGTGTCTAACAGCTATCAGTGAAAGGTCGGTAGATTTCACAGATGACAACAAATGGATCGAGATGGACGGGAATGTTATGGCAAACTTCCATCTAGCATTAGCAGATGAAATATTGTCAAGCATCGAGGAGAAGAAGACAACTAAGGAGATATGAGATCATCTTACTAAATTATACGAGGCCACATCGCTACACAATAAAATTTTCCTTAAGAGGAAATTGTACACTCTCCGTATGCCAGAATCTACTTCAGTGACGGAGCACTTAAATACACTGAACACTTTATTTTCTCAGCTTACATCCTTAAGCTGTAAAATAGGAGAACAAGAACTTGTTGAACTTCTACTTCGAAGTCTACCGGATTCGTATGATCAACTCATCATCAACTTGACAAACAGTAATGTCACCAGTCTAGTCTTCGATGATGTTGCAGCTGCTGTTTTACAAGAAGAAAATCGACACAAGAACAAGGAAGACAGACAAGTAAATCTGCAATAAGTAGAAGTATTGACAAAGATGAGAGGGAGATCAACAGAACGTGGCCAAAGCAGCAGTCACAAACATGGTAGATCGAAGTCGAGGAGCAAGAAGAATTTAAAGTGTTACAACTGTGGAAAAAGGGTCACTTGAAGAAAGATTGTTGGAGTCTAAATAAAAACTCCAATCCATAAGGCAATACCGCAAACACTTCAAATGATTGAGATGCTCTATGCTGTAAAGCGTCAACCACCGTGGAAGGTAGAAAGAGATATGCAGATATATCGCTCATTGATTCGGGAGCAATATATCACATGACCTCAAGAAGAGAATGGTTCCATCATTATGAACCTGTCTCAGAGGATCTGTGTATAGTTGCAATGATTATGCCTTAAATATTGTTGGCATGGGAACCATCAAATTGAAGATGTATGATGGAACAATTAAAGTTATTCGAGATGTGCGGCACGTGAAAGGCCTGAAGAAAAATTTATTATCCTACGGATTGTTGGATAATAATGCAAGCAAGATTGAAACACGGAAAGGAATCATGAAGGTGTTCCGTGGAGCGCTTGTGGTGCTGAAAGGCGAAAAGATAGCAGCAAACTTGTACATGCTGAAGGGAGAGACTGTGCTAGAAGCAGAATCCTTTGTTGCCTCATGTAGTTCAGATTCTGCAATGCTATGGCATCAGAAACTTGGACATATGTCAGAACAAGGAATGAAAGTCCTTGTGGAGCAAAAGCTACTTCCAGACTTAACAAAGATATCACTGTCTTTGTGTGAGCATTGCATAACAAGTAAGCAACACCGGTTGAAATTTAATACATCAAATTCTAGAGGCAAGAGTGTTCTAGAATTAGTTCACTCTGACGTATGGCAAGCACTAGTTACATCCCTAGGTAGAGCAAAATACTTTATCTCATTTATTGATGACTACTCCAGGAGATGTTGGGTGTACCCTATTAAGAAAAAGTCAGACGTGTTTTCAACTTTCAAAAACTTCAAGACGTGGGTGGAACTTGATTCTGGAAATAAAATCAAGTGTTTCAAAACAGATAATGGAGGAGAATACACAAGCGAAGAATTTGATGACTTTTGTAGGAAAGAATGCATCAAAAGACAGTTCACAGTGGCGAACGCTCCTCAACAAAATGGAGTGGCAGAGCGGATGAACAGAACCTTGTTAGAAAGAACAAGAGCAATGTTGAGGGATGCAAACCTAGAAAAATCATTATGGGCAGAAGCAGTATATACCGCCTGTTATTTGGTGAATCGAACTCCATTAACTGCAATAGAGCTGAAGACACCAATGAAGATGTGGACTGGAAAAACAGCTGATTATTCAAACTCTATGTATTTGGAAGTATAGTGTACGTGATGTACAACTCCCAAGAAATTTCAAAGCTGGATCCAAAATTCAGGAAATGCAAATTCTTGGGGTATGCTGATGGAGTAAATGGGTATCGCTTGTGGGATCCCACTGCCCGCAAAGTGATCATCCGCAAGGATGCTATCTTTGTAGAAGATAAACTACAAAGAAAAGAAGATGATGATAGCGCTGAAAAGTCAAAGACTACATAGATACATGTGGAAAATGAGGTTGAACAAAGAGATTCTTCTGAAGTAGAACCAACACATGATGAACAAGAACCAGAGAGTTCTGAAGCTCCAACAACTCGTCAATCAGATCGTGTGAGAAGACGTCCCAATTGGCACTCAGATTATGTTATAGAATGTAATATTACATACTATCTTTTAACAAATGACGGTGAGCCATCAACATATGAGGAGGCAATAAACAGCTCATATGCTTCACTGTGGATGATGGCGATGCAAGAAGAAATCGAAGCCCTTCATAAAATAATACATGGGACCTTGTGCCACTACCAAAAGGAAGGAAGCTAATTGGTAACAAATGGGTCTTCAAAATAAAGCAAAATGGCGACGATCAAGTTGAGAGGTATCGTGCAAGACTGGTGGTCAAAGGATATGCTCAAAAAGAAGGTATGATTTTAATGAAATATTTTCTCTTGTGGTTCGACTAACAATAGTTCGAGTAGTTTTGGCAATGTGTGCTACATTGAACTTACATCTAGAGCAACTAGATGTTAAAATAGCTTTTCTTCATGGAAATCTTGAAGAAGAGATTTATATGCTCCAGTCTGAAGGTTTTGAAGAAAAAGAAAAGAAGAACTTAGTTTGCAGGTTGAACAAATCTCTGTACGGTCTAAAGCAGGCGCCAAGGTGTTGGTATAAGAGATTTGATTCCTTCATTATGTGCCTTGGATACAACAGACCTAATGCAGACCCTTGTGCTTATTTCAAGAGGTTTGGTGATAACGATTTTGTTATATTACTTTGTATGTGGATGACATGTTAGTTGCAGGACCTAACAAAGATCATATTGAAGAATTGAATGCACAACTGGTTGGGGAATTTGAAATGAAGGACTTGGGATCAGCAAACAAGATTCTAGGGATGCAAATTCACTAAGATAGAAGTAATGGGAAGATTTGGCTTTCACAAAAGAATTACTTGAAGAAGATCTTGTCACGATTTAGCATGCAAGATTATAAGCCAATTTCTACCCCTCTTCCTATTAACTTCAAATTATCCTCCAGTATGAGTCCTAGCAGTGAAGAAGAGGGGATGGAGATGTCTCGAGTGTCATATGCATCGGCAGTGGGAAGTTTAATGTTCGCTATGATATACACAATACCAGACATTGCACAAGCAGTGGGAGTGGTTAGTCGGTGCATGGCGAATCCAAGCAAAGAGCATTAGAATACAGTAAAGAGGATCCTGAGATACATCAAAGGGACCTCAAATGTTGCATTATGTTACGGAGGATCAAACTTACTAATAAATGGGTATGTAGATTCTGACTATGCAGGGGATTTGGATAAAAGCAAATCTACTACAGGATATGTGTTCAAAATTACTGGTGGAGCTGTAAGTTGGTTTCAAAATTGCAGTCAGTTATGGTTACGTCCACAACAGAAGCAGAATATGTAGTAGGTACACAATCTAGTAAATAAGCAATTTGGTTGAAGATGCTATTGGAGGAGCTTGGGCACAATCAAGAGTATGTCTCTCTGTTTTGTGACAGTCAAAGTGCCTTGCATCTAGTAAGGAATCCAACATTTCATTCAAGGACAAAGCACATACGAGTTCAATACCATTTCATTCGTGAAAAGGTGAAGAAGGGACGGTAGATATGCAGAAGATCCATACCAAAGACAATATAGCAGATTTCATGATGAAGGCGATCAATACGATAAATTTACCTGGTGTCGATCCTCCTGTGGCCTGTCAGAGACGTAAGCAACATAAAGGTATAAGGTAGAAAGAATGGTGTGAAGATATGATTGTTACAATCAAATCTTCAAGTGGAGATTGTTAAAAAGTCAACATAGAAATGGCCAAATTGATGGCAAATTTCGGTGGAAAGTGTGCACAATAAATGCACCAAAATTAGCTGGAAATTTGGCACCGAAAGTAGCTGGAAAATGTTGAATTTTGGACAATAGTAGAATCATATTTTATTCATTGTAATTTAGGATATTTACAAATTAGTCCTTAAGTTTCAACTATAAATACCCTAGCTCATTTAGCTTCAAAACCATCCCAAAGCATTCTAGCTTTCTTCCAATGCTAGAGAGAATTTAGAGAGCTTCTTGAGAGTTGTTTTCTCCTTTTTATCAAGAGAAAATTATCATTGTTTTCTCCTTGGCACCAAAATTAGCTGGAAATTTGGCACCGAAAGTAGCTGTAAAATGTTGAATTTTGGACAATGGTAGAATCATATTTTTAGTCATTGTAATTTAGGGTATTTACAAATTAGTCCTTAAGTTTCAACTATAAATACCCTAGCTCATTTAGCTTCAAAACCATCCCAAAGCATTCTAGCTTTCTTTCAATGCTAGAGAGAATTTAGAGAGCTTCTTGAGAGTTGTTTTCTCCTTTTTATCAAGAGAAAATTATCATTTTTTCTCCTTGGTAGATCGAGAGAAGTTGTAATTCCTATTTTCTCATAGTGAAATTCTTCCACCGTTGCAATTGGTTTTTACCCTATATTATTTAGGGGTTTTCCACGTATTTGTGTCTTCTTTATCTTCATTTTTATTTTCTCAAATTATCAGTTGCGATTTTCTCTATCTGATAGTCGTCTTCCGTAATAATATCTTCACTAACGTTTCTGACTTTTTAGTTCTTAGAGATTGGGTAATGCGGAAACCAAAAGAGTCGTTGCTACTCTGTCAAAATGCACATGAAACCAGAATATGAGAATATAGAAAAATCTGAAAATGCAAAGGATCATGTCTTAAGAAGCATTCAGACATCAAAGAAACAATTCAATGGTAAACTCTGTCAAATCAGGAGATCTAAGATAGTAGACATTATCCAGTACACTCTTGAACCAGTGTCACAGGGTCCTAAAAGTAAATCCTGAGTTGGAATAAAATCAAAGCTCAAACCAAATAAGCGAAATAAAATGAAAGGGTAAGCTATTTGTAGCTCGACATGGTATCTGCACATGAATTAATAAACAGGACTCACTCTGCCATCTGTCGTTCATATTGAGAGCGTACATCATGCACCCGTACTGTGACTTCAAGTTCATGCTCAACTGTTTGCATTATTGCCTTCAATGGAAGAAAACACATAATATCAAAAAAAGAGAACCACGTAGAACATGCATTAAAAAGTACAAGTTTGATAATTATAACCCATGGCAATTCAGTAAGACATGTAAGACCAAAAATGATTGGTCCAAGCAATTCGAAATCATTCTGTTTAATCTATTTGCTGTTATCAATACCTGAACTCCAGGACCACTTCCATTTCCAGCGCCTGCATATTAATGATATTATTTTATTGAGTGATAATTACACAGAAAAACAAAAGAATAAACTGCATGATGTGAAAATGGTTCTTACTAGGAGCTTCACGTGAGGAAGCCTTTCGAGATTCTAGAAGCTCCTTTAGCCTTTTTGTAGCCATAGCAGACTCTTCAGTCTTTCTTTGCAAAACCTAACATGCACATAGGAAAACTTAGTACAATTCATTAGAATTAGAAAGATCAAAGCTTTCCATCGAAAAATAAATGTCACCATCTTTTGCCTCTGATTCAGAGCTAAGAGCTTGTGCATCTCATACTCATTTCTTCTTCCCTCTTTCTTAAGCTGGTTAGCAAGAAAAAGAGAGTAATTATATGTTGACAAAAGAAGAAAAAAATGTTTCTAGATGCAACTGCCAGAATTTTCATATACCTGCTGGACCTCTTTCTCTCGTGATGCTTTCCATAGCTTAAACTGTTCAGCTTCTTGCTTGATCTTTTGTTGCAGTTGAACCTGAAAAAAAAAAGGAAATATTATTTCTTGTAGCAAGAACCATATTCCCCTTTTGCAGAAACTACTTCATTTTTAAGATGAAGAAATGGAGAGCTTGGGATCGAGATTCACCTTCTGAGATCTGATTCTTTGAATCTCATCCTGAAGTCTCTTTGCTGCTTCATCACTTTTTTGTTTCTGTCTCAAAAGCTGAGCATGAACATCCTGCTTCTTCTTCAACTCTGCAACCTACAAAGCAAAAAAATTAATATAGAAACAGATAATTACTGTTCATAGAGGAAAGAAAATTCAAAACACACTTGTGACTCAAGGACGTTCAATTTGTGCAGGTATTCCTCCTCTAACTTTTGGGCAACAACATCAGAGGGAGAAGAAATATTGCCTAGATTATGTCTTAGCTCCTCAATTTCTTTCTGCCAATTGACAAATTAAAAGGAAACAAATTAATAATATAGGATTACACTAATCAGAAAATAACACTGATTTTAGGTAAGGCACTAACCTGCAAAGTCCTTTTCTCATGTTCCAACTCATTAACTTTCTTCTCATAAAGTTGTTTAAGAACTGAGGTGCCAGAACTTGCAAAACGTTTCATTTCAGCCTTAAACAGATAAAATGCCGTGAGGAAAATACATAAAATGGAACAAGTGTAAAACCAAAATGATGAGAGAGTAAATATTTTGTATTAGATAAAATGCCTTAAACAGATCTTCTTGAATTCTAATGAACAAAGCACATATACCTCTTTCTGTTCAAGTCTTTTGTCCAACTCCATAAGCTCCCTGTCCAATTTTTCTTGGAGAGTAGAATGTTTTACCTCCTTTTCGTTATCCTCAATGTCATCTACTTGAACAAAAAATTATGCTTACATCCATAAGTTCGGTGGTAAGGTTTTAAAAAGTTGGATAGTGAATAGAACAATGATAAAAATGAAAATCACAAAAAGTAAAAGGCTTAAATGACGTTTTGTATTGTGTCAGAGTTTAAATTCCCTAACCAGAAAAGCAACCATCAAAATCATTGAATTTAAAGCTTGATGAGGATTCTTATGGTAATCAGTCATATATATATTTCAAGTATGCTTCAATTCTAACCAGTTAAGAGATTTGCAATTGGGGGAAAAACGATAGGGAATAAATTAAGAAAAACCTTGGACAATAATTATATGCGTTTACCTTTCAACAATGTAATACAATTATACTGAACACACAAAAAAGATTTAACGTAGTTAGTCTCTCACAAAATAACTAGTAGTAACGGGGTCACTATTGTCCCCATACCTGAAGATAAATAATCATTTCCGGAAGAAAATAGTGAATTTTTTGAGGTTCCATCTTCATCTTCAACTACACTATCAGAAATTCGTCTACACTTTGAACTGTTTAAGCTTTTCAGGCGTATCAATTCTCCTTCCAGCTCTTGAATTTTCAACAGATAAGTTTTCATCAAATCAAAATCCTGGAATAATGCAAAAGCACATGTGAACCGAAGATTGTCTTCATCAAATTCTAGATCCAATAGCTGACCTTACCTGATTTTGGTTAGACTCTATTTCATCCCATGATTTACCATTACGAATTGCTTCTATTTGCATTACCAGTTTCTCCTTCTCAGCCTGAAATATTTTATTTTACACAATATTGTATTCTGTTTGACCAGCTACACAAGCATGGAATGCAAAAGGGAATTTTTTTAACTAAATGAAGGCGAAAAGAAAAGAGAAAACTCACCTGAGCTTCAAGTGCACGTTGAGCTAATTGTTCACTAGCGAGTCTACGTTCTTGAAGCTCTTGTCGTAGCTCTCCGTTGCTTGCTTCAAGTAAAGATACCTTATGCTTGAGAATCTGGATGGGAAAAAAGGGCATACAACAAAAGGACGTACTTTAAGCAAGTAAAGAATCAGAACGTGTTTGAATGTTCTATGTAAAAATAACCTGAAGTTCATCAAATGATCCATTGCCATCACCACGATAAAACAAAAGCTCAGCTTGCAAGTGCTCAATTTGGCTCCGCATTGTCTGCAACTGAGCTGCCATTGGATCACGGTTTATCTAAGCAAGTGCGAGAGATGAGATTGTTAGAATGAGAATTATAAAGCCCAGAAAAGAACTTTCCTTTTGCAAGTAAGCTCTTACAACTGCCTTATTCTGAATGTTTCGAGCACGATTGGCATACTTCAAGGTGTTTAGAGTTTCTTCAGCATTGGTGTCGGCCGGACTAACACAAGCTAAAATCAATATAGAAGAAACAACACTTAAGGATCATAAACAAAATTCAAAACAAAAACCTGGAACAAGTTTATATCAATAGTGACAACTATTAATGCATTAGAAGATAAAATAGCATACCAATCATCACGGTTTTGTTGTTTCCTCCAAGAGAATCCTGAAAATTTAGAATTCCATTAACAAATGCAAGTTTTCCTACTGAAGTAAGTATTTCCATCGAAGGACAATTTTATAAAATATATATTTTTTTATAATTCAAGAAAATTCAATTATAAAACAAGGGCGCGGTGACAATGTGTGCAGGTTTCACAAGTCACTATATGGTCTCAAATAGTCTGCACAAGTCTGGTTCAAGAGATTACCAAAGGTAGTAAAGAAGCATGGTTTCTTGAAATGCCATATAGACCATACTAGGAGAAGCGTGGAAATCAAGGGATGTCGACTAGTATTTAATGAAATGTTTTAGGAGTAATCTTGTTGATCGTGGTTGGTAGAGATAAATTAGGAGTAATTGTTGCATTTTGTAATATTGCTAATTATTAGGGCCTAATATCATGCTTACTGATAATTTCTTGTTTTTAGGAGTTGAGCAAGTATAGAGGCATCGTAACCAGCGAAATGTATCTCTCAAAAACCCTCCATTCTATTTCTCAACAAACTATTTTTCTTCCAAAATTTCTCTTTTCAACATTAACTTCTCACAATAATATTTCACAGCATTGTTAAACACTTAAAATTAAGAAACCACTCTTTTTCACAACATTTTTTTCAGGAAACTTATCAAAAGAATTTTTTTCTAAACCAAACCTTCTAAAAATACTTTTCAATGCATCATGTACTTGCTGAATATTTAAATTCATTAAACCCAAGACTAATTGACAACTGGTTGATAGCAATTTGACTTATCCAATTCAATTTGTTCTGAACAAATAATCTGCTTCAACAAAGATCAAAGCGTCCAATTAAAACTCCAACTGGTTGAAATGATTCTTCATATATATATATATCTGGATAAAACACTGTTTAAAACATACCTGTAACAAGCGAGCCAACTTGCTATCACGATATGGTACATGCCCCCCTTCTTTTCTCTTCCTCTCATCTCCCAAGGCACTAATCACATTCCCTAGAGCTAGTAAACCTTTATTGATATTAATTCCTACAAGAACAAAATGTCAAAACTTTTTAGACAAAATAAATCAAAAAGTTCCATATTGTGGCTAATTTAGAACCTATAGCTATTTTAATAGATAACATGAGGCTTTAGGAAATGGAAAAACTAATATACCTTCTTTTAACCGTGTGCCATTAGCACCCGTCCTTTTTGCACGTTCTGAGCCAGCAAGGTCCACTAAATGAAGCTTTGCACTTAAGATATCATCACAGATATCATTATTTACCGCACTTAAGCAGCTACCAGTCTTATTTTGCTCTATGCTTATTGTAAAGATGGCATGTGAACGACTGGAAACAATGTAACGATCATTGCATTTGGCATAAGCACAAATTTTTTTAAAAAAAATATCATTACATTATTTATGATTATGTAAACCTTATAAATCTAACACACCATGGTATTATAACAACGAAAATGATATTTAAATCAAAGATAGTACTGATTCTGGAGAAGCCAATAAAATGGGATTACTAAAACATATGGATTCATAACCCTCACCTTGATTGGCTATTCATATTGGTACTTCCTGTAGCTCGAGACAAAGAACCTCGTGCCAAATTTGATGCCATCTCTTCTTTCGTCCGAACTTCTGCCTCAGTCACCCCAGAAAGTGTTATTCCCCCACTCCCTGTTTCCCTAATTTGTATAGGAGGTCTTCCAAGAGTTGTAGACTTTGAGTCAAGTAAATCAAATACCTCTTCCTTAAATATCTGTCAAATTCAAAGATACTAAATAAGCACATTACCTGATAATAATAATAATTATAAGTTGAAGAATTATTGTTTAGCCTACAAAATTACCTCAATAAATGATACTCTTATCAAAAACTCCGTGGAGTTTTTCACTTCCCCAACTCTTCTAAATATAGTTTCCATAACTTTGGGTATAATCCCACCATTACTTTCCTCGTCGTTGTAATTGGTTCCCATAGTATATGTTTTACCAGAACCCGTCTAAAAAAAACCCAGAAACACAACATATTTGTTAGAAAATAGTAAAATTTTATTTTAAAAGAGGAAATTAATAAAAATATTAATTAAGAAAGCCCTCAATTGAACAAAATGAAGCTAACCTGGCCATACGCAAGTACAGTGGCATTATAACCACGAAAAACTGCATCAACCAGAGGATCAACACAATCATCATAAATAGAAGAAGGCGGCGGTCCCCCTCCCCCGTAAACGTAATCATATGTAAAGGAATGAGACCCAATTTGAACCTGTAATCGAAACAATAAAAAAAAATCAAACACTAATCCATTCCAATATAAGATTTCAACTTCGGAAATATATTTATAAAATCGAAATACCTGAGGTTCGCCAGGAACGACAGTGATGCAATCCGTACATCCATTGACAAGCTCTGTAGTAATAAGAGGCCGAATGTTGACGGCTACTCTAACGGAATCAGAACTCTCCATCTCCTAAATAATGCGATCAAAATCTACAAAACAAAATCTTCCAAATCACTCAAAATGAAATGTATCACATTTTAAATCCATGAGCTGATGAGATTAAACCCAAAAAAAAACCTTATTGGAGAACGCAATGCCTGGCGGAGATGGAGCTTCGTGGTTTTTGGGGGTTCTGGTTTTTTGTTTTTTAGACGTTAAAGTTTTGAATTTTCGTTGGGGAAAATAAGAAGAGCCGGTGTCACGTGAAAATCACGTGATGAAAGGTTAAAATTGGGCGGTAAGGGGTTGGCGGGGAATGCCTGTAATCTTATTCTAACAATCATTGGTTTACAACTAACAAAACTAACTTGCTAATTACAGAAAGTGTAAATTTCAAATTTGGTAACTGTTTATTCTCTTTTTTATTGTAATTACTTTACTTTAAATATTTTTAATTTCTTCACTGAATTTAATAAATTTGATTTTTTTTGTCACTCAATCATTTTCTCACTAACGGCGTTATAAATAGGTTTTTATATAGATGCAAAACGACACAATTTTGGTGAAAATTTTATTTTACCATTAATTATTTAATAGCGGAGTGACAAAAAAATAATGTATTAAGGTTAGTGAAAAAATTGAAAATTTTTAAAGTTTAGTAAGTAAAATATGAGAGATAGTAAAATTTAGTGATGAAATTTATAATTTACCGTTATAGAAAATTCGGTGAAATTGGATTTACGTCACGTGGTTTTATTTAAACTTGGATTTACATCACGTGTTCTGTTTCCCTACGAATGGAAGCCATTCATTGAAGAAGATAACTTGATAGAAACAATATTGTGTAAAATGAATGGGTGTAAAATGAATGGGAAGTTCTACGGTGCGGCACCTTAATATAAAGATAAAATAAGGCTCTATCGGTTTTGTTATTATTTAAATAACAAAATCGGTAAAAAAATACCTAAAATATTATTATTTTTACCTAAAAAATCAATTTTTTAACATTTTCGGTAAAAATGTCCAACAATAACAAAACCGGTAGCGCCTAATAATGTTTCCGGTCATTTTTACCAATTTTATTATTTAAACAATAATAAAACCGGTAGCACCTTATTTTGTTATTTAAACAATAACAAAATCGGTGACACCTTATTTTAGCCTTTTATTAAATCTGTCACACGTGAGTATTTCCCAAAATGAAGTATTGCGTGGAGAAGAGAAGTAAAACCAATTATTTGATCCATACTTATTTGTTAAAGCTGCCTCCATTTTTATGTTTGTGTTTCAATCTCAATATATTTTTCTAACACCTCGTGTGTCATTTACATGTAATTCTATTTTACGGTGACCTAATTTAAGGTTAAGGAAATGCACAATAGGAATTGTAAAACTTTTTTTAACATTTCCAATTGAGTACAACATAAAATGTTAATCTTTTAACATTTTCGTAAGCTAAAATGTTGTTTTTTTAACATTTTCAGCAACAACAAAAAATGTTGTCTTCTTTATAAGATTTTTTTTGCAACTAGAAATGTTAAAAAAATTAACATTTTAGGTTGTGAAAATATTAGAAGATTAATATTTTAGGTTGCGCTCAACTGAAAATGTTAAAACAAAGTTTAACATTTCCATTTGTGTCTTTTCTTAGGCTTAAATTAGGCTGCATTTTCTTAGTCATTTTATCGTTCTCTCATTCTTGATATTTTAGATATATGCTTCATTTATTTTTATTTCTCTAATTTATTATTCTTCCCAAAGAATTTAAACTTGAATAGTTGCATCTCATGCGACATCGTCCAATATATTGAAGGATCGATCCAATTCTTTATGTTTTGTAAAGGATCGATCCCCGTAAAATTCGATGAAAATGATAAAATTTAATTCATTAAAGGTTCTAAGTGTCTTTAAGTCTTAATTTGACCCTAAATTTGTTTATTTATAGTTCATAATGGTTCCAAAAATGGAATGTTAATTGATACTTTGTCTTTAATCTGAATTTGGTGAGATTTGGTTTGTAACTCTTAAATATACTGAATTGCATAATGAAAGTTTCAATTGCATGTTTGTTGTTTGTATGTGACTTTTGAATTGTTTACGTTTTAGTCCTTAGAATTGCATGTTTGATTAGGTACTTGTTTGGCGTCCTCTTGATCTGAAAATTTGGATGTGTTCAATTGGATGTTAATAATGATTATTTTTTAACTCAATTTTTTTAACGTTGAATTAATAATGGCATGTGAAATGACTAATTTATTCTAAGATATGTTTGCATGTTGAATGTTTATCCTAACTTTTTAAACTTAGTTTATATGTTTAGGGTTTAATTTTGTTTGATTCGTTTCGGAATCTAATGTACACTCAGAATGTTCGGCCATTCTTCATAGCCGAATATAGGATATTATAATTATAATGAAAGCATGATTTACTTTTCACCCTTTTGGATAGTATTTATGATTGAGAATGAATGTGACCTTATAGATTGTAATAAGTCTAGTACTTTGCATAATGAATATATTGAGATTCGTAATATAAATTGTGAATAAAGGAATATAGTCGTGTGACATCTTGAAATAGTCTAACGAATAATTAATGTGATGACTCAAATATGTTTTGCCTTATACTTGGATTAAGTGTAATGTATCTAAATAAGAGACTACGGATAATAAGAGTGGAAGACTAGTGACTATAAGTTCATAATTGGCTAATATGATTATTTTTATGAAACTCATCAAATATAATAGAGTAGATGTGTACTCATTGAGCTTGTTAGCTTATTCTTTGAATTAATTACACCTATAGATTACAAATTTTATGGATCACTATAGGACAACTATTGGTAATGATTAATCTCACATAGAGTTGGAAACATTATTGGGAATGGATATTTAATGTCTGCATTCTCTACTCCCTTGTTGAGTGATAGAGAACAAGGAGGACTCTCGCGCACCGTCGTCGCGCCGTCCGTCCGTCTTGTCTCGTCTTGTGGTCGTGGTCGTAATACGTGTCTCTTCGACACGATTTTTCTCTGAAAGAACAAATGAAAATGTGAAAGATTTTATATATATATATATTTATAGGTTGTTGAGGATTGTTTAAATACAAATATTTTAGATGATAACATATGATTAATTAGTTATCTAAAATTAAATAAATTTAACAATTATTTTCATCTGATTTTTTATTGGACGATTATACCTCTATTTCTAGCCTATAAATAGAGAGAGTTGAATTCAGCTTCTCAACTCACTCCACAACTCACTTTTCACTCCCTTAGTGTTTCTAAAGTTGTTCTCTATATATTTTTCGATTAAAAGTGCAATAAGGCCAGCAGTCCACTCGGGTTTTGGGTGTACAAAATTTGGAGCGATCGTGTTAACCTCGTTGGATGATCTATCTATTGGAGTAATTACACACATCGGGGCGAATTCGTTTCTAAGGTAGTGGTTTTTACCACGATGCGATTTACGATTAAAACTTTTGAATTATTATTTATTTTCTAGTCATTGCTAACGGTGTGATTTTGCAGTCCATATTTCCAACAATTTAGAAACGAATTCATATATATTGTAAATATGACATAACCTTTGAGCAAGCTGATTCTCGATCTTTCCAAGATCGATGCACTTAATGGAAAGAATTATCGAAGATGGTCCCAAAGAATATTGATATTCTTCGAGTAACTTGACATTGATTACGTGTTGCTTACGCCATCACCTACCATGCCGCCAACCCTAGTTGTCGGAAACAATACTGATGCAGTTCTAAACGATGTCACCATATTCAATGCTAATGTTGTCATTGCTACCCGTGAGAAATACGAGAAGGACAATAAAACGGTGTGAGGACACCTACTCAACCACATGTCAAACAAATTGTTTGATATGTTCTTTAGAGAGAAGTGTCAAGGTAATTTGGGACACTCTGGAAAAGAAGTATGGTGTTAACGATGCGGGCATCAAGAAGTATGTTGTCGGTTAATGACTTAAATTCCATATGACGGATGACAAGCCGATAATAGATCAAGTTTATGACTACAAGAACTAGGTCGCCGACATCATCGTTGAAGGAATTCATATGCGTGAGGTGCTTCAAGCCAATGTCCTCATCGAGAAGCTGCTCAAGTCCTGGTCCGACTACCGTAATTCTCTCAAGCATAAAAGGAGATATATTTCCTTGAGGTGTTAGGGGGCCATATGAAGATTAAAGTAGCCAATCAGTTAAAAGATAAGGTTGCTAATTCCCTTAGTAATTTATCTTTTAAAGCTAACTTGGTTGAGTTAGATTCAAGAAGATCATGAAACAAGGGAATCAATATAAGAGGACTAAACCTTAGATGGCTGTAAACTTCAAGAAATTTAGGAATGTTAAACTTGAAGGAAAGACACTCAAGTGTTATGTCTACGGCCTAGCCGGCCACAAAGCTTATCAATTCCAACACCGCTCAGACCGCCAGAATGACAACAAGCCATAAATACACATTATGGAAAAAAGATGATGACATCATTGTTGCAGTGGTTTCAGAAGTCAATCTGGTGGAGAACAATTCTATATGAGTGGTTGATACTAGCGTTTCAAAGCAGTTCTGCGCAAGGAAGGACTTTTTCACTGAGTTCAAGTATGTGAACGAAGGTGAACGAGTGTACATGGGGAACTGTAGCAACTTTGAAGTGCTAGGAAAAAGAAAGGTTTTACTCAAGCTGACTTCTGGTAAAACTCTGGCCTTGAATAATATTCTGTATGTACCTACCTTGCGTAGAAATTTGATAAGTGATGTGCTTCTGAATATGGCAGAGATTAAGTTAGTTTTTGAGGCAGATAAACTTAAATATTCCCAAAATGGTAATTATGTTGGGAAATGGTTTTTAAACGATGGTTTATTTTTCATATAAACTCAACTTAATGAAAATAAAGTTACCACTTATTCTTACATTGTTGAATCTGTTAATATGTGGCAAGCTAGATTAGGGCACGTAAATATTCATGCTTTAAAGAAATTGATGAATATGAATGTTCTTCCTAAACTA